GCTCTCGCAGGCGTCTGTCAGCAACGGCAGCGACTCGGAGAGCGGGAAGGAGCTGGTGGAGCTAAAGGTCATCTGGAACAAGAACAAGTACGACGTGAAGTTCTGCCTGGACAGCACGGGGGCCGACCTGAAGCAGAAGATCCACTCGCTCACAGGTCTGTGCTGCGCTGCCTCTGGCCGCAGCCCGCTCCTCCTCTCGCTGAAATTCGCTCCGCAGCCGCGAGGCGTGCTTGTAATCTTTATTCTCGCCTCTTAGGCCTTCCACCAGCTATGCAGAAAGTTATGTTCAAGGGACTCCTACCGGAGGAGAAAACGTTACGAGAAATCAAAGTAACGAACGGCGCAAAGATAATGGTGGTTGGCTCTACTATCAATGATGTTTTAGCAGTAAATACGCCCAAAGAAGCTGCTCAACAGGAGGTCAAGGCTGAAGAAAATAAAAAGGAGCCCCTTTGCAGACAAAAGGTTATTGTTGTCTCAATTTTTCCTGGTTTCTGGGGAACTGTGGGATTTATATGACTCTCTTGTAATATTCCGCTATTACTTTTGGGTCCTGGTCCTATGTGACACAGGCTAATTTCTTACATAGTTAAGTGTTAGAGGAAGGGCTCTCTGTAGAGGAGTGTAAAACATTATTTAGCCCAGTAGAGGCTGTGGCTTTGCAAGTCACCTTTTGTGCCGGTGCCAGGTACGTTTTAGTATTTCAAACAAAGAAATGGGGAGTAATAGAAATATTTCTTAGTCGTTAGTTGAGTAGGTTGGTTGCATCTGAAAGCTGACTAATCTTTGTTGCCATAAAATAGTTTGACCTCTAAAACTGTCTTCAAAGTGGATACCCAAAGAGCAGTTTCTTCAGCTGTCCCGGCACTGAGGGGAACATGAATGCTGAATACTCCTCTCACTTCTTGGAAGTGTTGCCTCCTAATAGGATGTGAAGTGCAGTGCAGTAACGCTTGTTTTGGTGGCTTGCGGCAATGTTGTAGGGCTGATAAAAGATTTTCAGCTCAAGGTATTATCACCCCACACCTTCCTCAAACTAATATAATTGAAAATTAAAATGTTCATCGTTGATCTACGACCTTTATGAAATATGCTTTTGTTTTTCTATAATCTATCATAGTTCACGTTCACTGTAAGTCCCATCATTGTTTAAAGGTACTCGGCAAGTTACAAGCTGTGAGCATGTTTTTCTTAGTTACTACTGCTTTAATCTGTTGTGGCTGTGTTGCGATATGTTGCACTGCAAATGTAAGGGGTTTTCTTCCATTCACTGAACATAACACTTGACTGTTAAAACTGACTTGCCAAATGCCAACTATGTGATTCAGCATGTATGATATTAAAGTGAGACTTTTTAAATATGTATATATATTTATATTGTAGAAGCGATGTTACCCTTTGCATCAAACTGGGATTCTATTAGCTTATACAATTTCTTAAGATTGTCATAGAAAGTGCTCGGTTAACTGTGAGAATTAACCATTTTCTGTGTGATAAAAGACTGTGAATAGTCCTTAACTGTCTCATGGTGCTGTTGGGATATGACCAAGAGTGCAGCTGGAAATAAATTGCAAGATTCTGTTGTGTTTGTGTGAGTTCTAATTTCTGTTTTATATTGTAGCAACACAGAAAAGTATTGGATAAAGGAAAACCTGATGATGTGATGCCTTCTGTTAAAGGTGTTCAGGTAAGTAAATAAGTATGTGGCACACTGTCATAATCAGAAAAGAGATAACTTTTTGTGGTTTGAGGCCTTCCTTTGCTGATTCTATCTTTCCTTGCAATCTTAGTAGAAAACAGCAGATAGCCCTTGTACTCAAAAAGCTGAGGACAGTTTTTCCTATTAAAGCCTTTCACCATGACTCTCTGTTGCTTTTTGTAGGAGCGCCTGCCAACAGTGCCATTATCTGGCATGTACAACAAGTCAGGGGGGAAAGTAAGATTGACCTTTAAACTTGAGCAAGACCAGCTATGGATTGGCACAAAAGGTGAGCAACTCTAAAACTTAGGTGAATAGTTCATAGTTGGGCTGTAAGTGATTGGTGGGAACTAGAAATATTTTCTAGTGTGAATAAATTGTATTTGGGGAATAGTATTGGTATTTGAATACTTCAAAACTAAATTTTGCGTCCTTTTCTCAAATGTCATTCTCTTGGATTGTTTGAACACTATCTGATATTTTACTTCTGTTCTTGAAAAATTTGAGTTCAGTTTTGCCAGTGATTTACTTTTCAGTCTGCTGTTCATAGCTCCCAGTTGTATGATATAATATTTGGCATTTCTAACATATCTCAAGAGCACTTCATAAACATTGCTTTGATCCCCACGTCTTAGGGAGGCTCAATGACTTGGCTAAGAACCCAAAGGAAATCTTAGAACTGGGAATAAAGCTAGGAGTGCTGGCACTCCTGTTATTATCTATCCTTCCAACCAAAATTAGTTGAGTGTCTTGTTTCAGTGATGTACAACTGCAAAAACTATGGCATGTGTTGCTGTGCGGAGGAATCAGTTTACCATCTTGAGTGGTGCCAGGAGGAGCTGAAAGTGCTGTGGTGCACTTTCATTGCACCTCAGCATGCATTGCTGAGGACATCCCAGATAATCCCCCTGCCTCCAGAGGAAGCTATGCCCCTTTAATTTGTCCAGGACAGGGCAATATTATAATGATGAGCAAGAAGAATAGAAGTGCTTGCTCACTGTCCCAGTAAAATAACCTAATTGGATGGTAATATTAGCTTTGGATGGCACCTCCAGCTGCTGTGTTATTTCCAAAGTAAGCAGAAATCTCGGAAGTTTTTGACCTTTCCTATGTAGGACAGACTTGATAGTGTGGATGTTTTCTGGTTTTAAAATCAGTAAAAAAAATCAGTTGTTTCAGTACCAATTGCAGAGATTTTTCCTGGGCTAAATGAGGGGGAGAGACACTGTATTTCTTCTCCATAGGCTGGGCTGCTCAGTTTTTTTCATTATTGATAATGTGTTCTAAATACTTGATTAGTATTTCAGTGACTAATTCTCTCATCCCTCCTTCTAGACCAGTTTCAAGTTTAGTGTTTCTGAAGTGTTTTGGATTAGGGTTTTTTAAATATGAAATTTAATTCTTCTTGTCATCTGTCTTTAATATAACCTATCACTCTACTTTCCCAAATTAGCAGCGACTGACTTCCTGTAGGGAACGCTTGTAATTGCTAGCTGTTGTTGGGAATGGTTCCTTCCTGCTCGAAGAAATTCATGGCAGATGCCAGCATATGTGGGCTAGAATAAACACAACTAGCTGTCACACCATTTCTGACTGGCTAGTCCTTGAAGATGGAAACTGTTTCTCTCTCACCCACCCTTCCTGTGCTTCACAGACCACTCTGTACGTTTTTGTAGTCTAAGGTTTGCTATAGCTAGATGTTTCTTGGTCATTCTATATGCTTTCCATAGAGACATTGATCATATGGATTTGTCTGTTGCTGAGATCTTCTGAAGAATAATTGTTTTGAATGCAAATGAGAGCAAAGATTCTTTATTCAGTGAATAAGCGTTGACAGTCTGGGGTAGTTCAGAGTGAGCTTAGCTGAAGCACAGAAATACGGAATATTTGTTTTTCCATCACAAAGTAATTTCCATCACAAACAAGATATAAACTATGTATTTATTCATTTCCCTGTGTACCTTTTATAGGTAGGTGCTCTGCTCTGGCTCACACAAATTAAAATGTCATACCTATCTAAAGAACTCACTGTTCTGTTTCTCCTTTGTAGAGTGTTTGTGGTTTTCTGTCTTGTACCCAAGAAGATAATTTTAGGCTGACAGTGAAAGCTGGAATTGAGAGGAAGGATCTTGGACTTAAGCCTTCGGGAGGAAGGGAGGGCATAAGTGAGACAAAAGAAATCAGCCATGAAACTTATACTTTGTAATTCTTGTTGGTTACATCTGGCTGGCTGATGTTAGTCTATCTCATAATTGTAGGGGAGGTGGGGTTCAGTTTCTCTTGTTATTTTATAGTGACAGTTGAACACTACCTCAGGGTAAAACCAGGACTAGACTTCCAAAGAGTTAGCTGATCCTTGTCCTTTCCATAAAGCTTAGTTTAATCCTTTGTAGTCGGTCCTGCATATTCTTACACCTGGATTTACTTTCACTATGGTGAGTAATCCTGCTGATCAGAGTGGAGTTACTTATGGAGTTATGTTAAATAAAGCTGTCCCTCCCTCCCTCCCCCTCTGTCAACTTAAGGCCCAAAGCAGATAGACTGAACCTACTTAATCTGATACAGAGGCATAAAAATCTGGGTAATTCTGTGATGCGCATCAAGATTTCTTTGAAGTATTGGCCTACCAGTTGTGGAGTTGTGGTAATGTGGAAGACTTGCTTCCAAGGAGCAGGTATCCAAAGTTCATCCTAAAAGAAAAGACTGCTCACACGAGGTGCTTTTGGAATTAATAGAGGTGGTATTTAAAGTTGACATTAAATACTACTGCCTCATACATCAGAAATAATACTTTCATCAATTTTAATGTAGAGAGAACAGAAAAGTTACCCATGGGGTCCATTAAAAATGTGGTGAGTGAACCTATTGAAGGACATGAGGATTATCACATGATGGTAAGTAATCCTACTTTAATAATATCAATCTAATTACTTCATGCAAATATGCAGAAATGAGCATTTTAAGCTAGAGTAAGTCTGAAACTGATAGTAATACAAGCTTCCTGTATTGTGAAAAGTTGGAATGTCAATATTGTCTACTGTCATGATGTAAATATTTTGGGTAGTGTATGTTGAGTGTCTGCTACTTTGTGGACATTTCAACTGTTTTCACACAATTGTTAGTGCTACTTAATATCCTCTGTCTTGTTATGACAGTATAATTACAGTAAAAAAAAAAAAAACCACAGTATTTTCCTAAAATGGAGTATCATGATACTTTGAAACAAAGGGACTGTAGGGCAGACTTTCAGAATAATGGTCAGCCTACAGTGTGAACGTGGAACGCTAAACTATTCTGAAAAGATGTATTCCGTTTTAGTTCCATTTTCATTTTTTGTTTTGTTTTTGTTTTTCCTTTTGTGATACGCAATTTTAAGTAAGCATATAAATTGGTATGCTTCTCTATTATATTCCTCCAAAAGACCTTGACATAGAAATTTTTAGTTTGTGAGAGCTACCTTCCTTTCGCTATAACTGTGAATTAGTATTCTTTGATAATGCTTGCTGCCAGTCATTTCCTTTAAAAATACAGAATAAAAGCCCTACCTCACACAGTAGTGAGGTCGTTTTTGTCAAGAAAGCGTTAGTTTGATTTCTTAGTGATATTTTCCTATATCTAGCTTAATGCTAGTTTCTATTTTCTTTGTATAAACAATAGGACTTGTTGGAGGTTAGAAAACATAGAGACTTGATTCTGCAATGTTTCTCTTTTCCCCGTTTAAGTTTCTGAAATACTGATATTGGGTTTAGAAAACTAATATATTTCTGAAGAGAACAGTGCTAATTCTGCTGGATTTTTTGGCTTTTTTTTAATCCATAGTTTTTTTGAGTTTTTGTTTACAAAATACTTCAACACCGAAAGTTAGTTACTGCAAGTTCCTTGTACAAAAGTCTGCTTCCCTCTTTAAGGGAAGAAAAGGGAAATGCTATCCCTTAAAATTATTGTCTTCAGGAGGGAGCTGATCTAGTCTTTGTCCAAATATTTGATATTTTTGATCAACTATGTAGAAAAATGGCCTCTTAAGAGTTTACTATAGCATAATCTAATCCTAAAACAAAGATAGAGATAGTTGTCATGCGGTAATACCCCTATTTATTCTGATGCAAGTAGAGAGTAGTACTTTATGCCTAAATATAAAATTCTGTGAATGTTCTTTTAAAAAAAAACCAAAAAACACATGGTGGTTGTCTTAATTCCCCTCTGGCTTCTTAGCTCTGTGCGTTCTGGTAGTTGCTTTAGGGACTTTGAGTTATGCTTCAGATTCTGACTTCCAGGATATTTTCCTTGTGTTCTTGAAACTGGCCAAGAGTTTTTGTTGCTGCTTTGACATCTTAAATGAAAGAGCTCGTCATTTTGATTGGTACTTTACAGTTCTTATTTCTCTGAGGAATGATTTCTTCAACTGCATACCAAATACTTTTAGTATGCACCAACTATTTGAAGGAGGCAATAGATGTAACGAACTTACTTGTTTTTTTTGGTGGATAAATTGGATGTCCAATCTGACTGGTATAAGCTGTTCTGTTTCCCATTGTAAATGTTGTCATTTTTAACTTTGCAGGCATTTCAGCTGGGCCCAACAGAAGCGTCTTACTACTGGGTCTATTGGGTACCAACTCAATATGTTGATGCAATCAAAGACACGGTGCTGGGGAAATGGCAGTATTTTTGAAAGCACGCTCACCTCTGGCACAGGAAAATGGCACAAAGCTAAGGACACTGCTGGGAGAGGCCTCCAACATCCCTGGATTTGATAGTCCTGGAACTTATTAATAAAATATGAATAACGAGGCATTGATGGAAGCCAGAGGTGATGTTCTTTCACCATTAGTTTACTTTTAACTTAAAAATTTCAGCATCCCTTTTCTGCAGTCAGCTTCAACCATATTTAAAGCAAATACAGTGGAAATCAATAAATCTTAATTCACAAAATATTGTGTGTAATACACTTAAATCTGCTGAGAGTTGATCTTCCATTTTAGTTTTAAAAAGGAAATATTACAGTCTATTACAGAGGATTTTTTACATGGTTGGAACAAAAATATTTTCATAATCTTTCAGTTATAAGCATTAGACTTAATTTAGTTACTTGGTTGTGACTGAGAATTTCAGAAACAGTTTTTTTAAAATAAACTTTAAATAGTATGCAAAATTGATGTTTAGTAAGCCATATTCTGCTGGCCCTTTTGTTTCCGGTTTGTCTCGTTGGTAGCAAAACTTTTTTGTTTTAACCCAAAGGTTTGGTTTTTGTTTTGTTTTTTTCCTCTTTTCTTTTAATACTCGAAGCCCTGGGTTGGTACTGTGTGGCATGTTTGGAGCAGATGAATACCACTATGGATGTTTTGCAATCATAATGACCCAGTGCTGCTTACTGTCCCATTTCATGCCGTTTTAGTTATTTTCTTCCCTCCTGCTCTTCTCCTGCCTGGGGTGCTACATTTTTAGGAGCAGTTTCTTGATTATACATATTGCAGTCCTGAATCATTTTGCAGCTGTTGTGATGACAGTTACCTGTCTGACTGAAAAGGACCTCTAGAGTGCACTATGTAATACAGACCAGTATGAGTGTACTGAAGCAGTAACACAGATGTTGCAAAGGAAGTGAACCAAAGAGACCTTCCTGTGAGTTTTTTTGTGGGGGGATAGGGAGAGGGGAATGGGAGAGAGCAGCTGGCTAAAATGTCATTTGATTGGGGCCCTGAATAATTGTGGTAGTCTTTTGTGACCTGGATTTGAAAAATCTTATTCAGTGAGTCTTACCAAGTTTAGGATGTCTGTCCGACAACTGATATTTTAAAGTTTAAATCACCCTTCAGCTTTTCTTTGCTCAAGTTTTCAGGAACTTCTTGCATCTAGTTCTGTCTGAAATAATGTTCCTTGCCTTTCGTTTGTGATGTTCTGCCTGTCATCTCAGCAGTTAACGTGCCATTTATCTCAGGTTTTCTGAATGGACCTTTCAGTCCTGAAAAGGTGCACACCCTTAACCGATTGTGTTGTGCAGTCAAACCGAATCAGTCTTACTGTGTGTTAAACCTACGTCTAAGAGATCCTTTTTAAAAAAAAAAAAAAACCCACACTGTAGGCTTAATATTTGTTCAATACAAGTAGTTTAACATTTTGTGAAACTCAAGGAGAGACATCCTTTCAGGAATAGCTGAACATAATATATTCCCTGTCCATTTTTCACTTGCCTTGAAATAGCTCAGTTGAAACTCAGCAGGTGCAAATTCCCGAATGAGTATTTATTTTATTTTTATTTTATTATAGGCAAGGAAAAGTCTTCATTTTAGGATATAAAGGTGTTCAGTTTTTTCTAATATTATTGAAAGTGAATTTGGGTTAAGGTTACATATTTACCTATATATACTATTGATAGCAACATAAGCAACTCTTGTTTTGTATTTTCAGTTAGAACATTCATGCAATAGGAAAGTTGTTCCACATCCTACATCTTTAAACTAGTGATGTGCTTGTTACTCTTGTAGCTTGAGATATTTTCTTTCTGTATACAAACCAAGAGCAGTGTGTCTTGACATAAATGCATTGTGACACGAATTTTTCCTGAAGTAGCGCTGTGTTAGTTCCCTAGAACAGCCTCCTCCTGAAAGCTCTGAGCAAGGGTATGGATGCAGATAATGGAGTTGCTATGAGTTAATTTGAGATATAATTACAACTTAAATGCAGCTATCACACTTTTTATTTTCTAATTGCCAGTTCAAGTATTAAGGTTGAAATTTAAATTTTGGTGTCTAGTGGAAAGTGTATGCACTACAATACTGCGTCATATGCTTTATATGATGTATAAAGAAAAACAGCAGAGTGCAAAGGTGAATCCAAATGACAGAAAAAGCTAATGTTGCTAGTCTTGTTGGTTTAGTGATCATCAACTTCCACTTGCTACCAGATTTGCTTAGGCCTGTCTATATGTCCGTTCATACTCCATTTTCCTTTCCTGTTCTTTAATTCGCTTGCCCCTTGAGAGGACATGTATCTTAATTCCAGCTCTTCCCCAGTGTTCCTGTGGCTTCTGTGTTGGATGCAGTAAATACGGGTGAGTACACTCTGCTGCCATTGCTGAGGTGGGGCATATACCTGATCTAATCACTGTCAAGGCAATGAGGACACCTTGGGCATGGAGGACAATGTAGTGTTTAACATTCCTGTCGGCTTCTTTCCCAAGGGCATGATTTTTCTGTCTCCTGTGCCAAGTACAATAAATGAATTGCTATCAAAAGAAACAGAATATAAAAATTTTAGGTTACAGAGCAGTTTTAAACGTGGAGAAGAAAATACGGGAAATTAAGAAAATCAAACCTGGTCCTGTTTAGATACTTCTTTTTTAGTTGAATTTGATTTGAAAAATGAAACAGTTTCACTTCTTTCTCCCACGTGCAAAATTTGAATTAAAATACAGGAAAGTGATACCAAAATGCTTTAGTTGGTGTTTGTTGGCTAAATATAGTAAGTTTCTGGAAGTTCTTTTAAATTAGTATTCCAATTGATTTTTACTAGTACCTCTTTAAAGATTCCTCTTTTGGAATGATGTGGAGCTTTGCATCTTCTGGTATATACCAATTTTTAAAAGGCACTTAATGACATCGATGATCGTGAACATCTAAGAAAACACCATCTCTTTAGTTGTATAGTGTCACAGCTTGTTTAATTGGGGAGCTGTTTTTTAGCCTCTCATCTTTCCTTTGTGTTTTACTCTTATAACTAGAGTGGTTTCCAGGGCAGTTTGAGGATGCCAAATGGTCCTGTGGAGAAATTTGGCAGTTAGTCCTCAGTGAAATACAAGTGTAATGAATAACATGCAAATGCAATCAGTATTTGAAGTTGACTGATTAAGGTTGTTTTCAGATCGTTCATATAATCTTCCATAGGAAGTATATGGTAATATCTGTGGTGATTCTTATGCAAAAGTTGAAGTATTTCAGTTAAATTACAATTTAATGCCTTTCTAGGGAGATCAGTTCCCTGTTGTATATATGTGTAATTCTTTACAAACATTAATTTTGGGATGCTGTTCCTTATGAAGTTGTATTAAGTGCTTTGCTAGGTTTACTAATGGGTGATAAAAGTATCTGGAATGCAAATGTGGGTTTTCAACAGAAGACAGTATTTCCTCATGCAAATGTCATAGTCGCTTCTAATGCACAGGCAGTGTGTCCTTTATAGTTCTTCTTGGTGCCATTGTCTCATTAAAGTGGAGTAGCAATAAACACTGTCTGTGAGGAGTTCTGTTGCAGTTACTGAGCTCTTCCTAGGCCTTTGGTGGTGTTGAGTGTTTCAACTCGCCTGCGTACCATTCCTTTCACTTTTCTGTGCCCAGTGCTATGGGTTTCTTGTTTCTATCCTTGTTCGGAGTTTAGTATTCCTTCCATATCTGTTTGTGCATCCCAAGCACAAACAGTTTCTGGATTAGTATTTCATTAGGAATGCAAATGTATAGTGTTAAACCTTGTTTGGGTTTGAACATAGACCATATCTTGTATGAAGATCTTGTATTACTTGCAAGTTTTTCATGTCAAGTTTAAGATTAAAGTAAATCATTACTTTCTCTTAGTGACATTGTCTTACAAGAATTGTATAATTAAAATAAGGATGTTACTGTGTTGAAAGACAAGAGGTGGTCTGAAGAAAAAGAATCGCATAAGAAAGCGTTAACACACAATAGTTATAACTCGTAACACACGCACTCAACCTGCTCAGTTTTATAGTTCACAGAGTTTGTATCCATTGCTTCGTACTTTAAGGGCCAAAGAGAAAAAATTCGTTTGCAATGACACAGAATCGAAAGTGCCATATTCTGGGGGTGGTCTGTTGCACGTTCTCCCTCCCCTCATCCCGGTGGCCCTGTACAGTCTGGGGGTGCGACCGTTAGGGCACAGGCAGGCTCTTCGCAGGGCACACGCTCAGTACTCTGCTCTCGTTGCTTGTTGTGCCAACTGGGTGGAGCAAACTTTTCAAACTTTTCTTCTGTTGCTGACTTTTTGCTTTCTTTATTCATAACTTTATTTTCCAATCGGGTTGTTTTCATTTTGAGTTTAGTACTCTAGCCTTTCAGAATTAGATTATTTGTATCTTGTTTTGTTAACTAACATCCTAGTCACTGGGGGGAAGGAGGGGACCAGGAGAGCTGCAGCAAGTCTTGTATGAAACATACGGCTGTTTTACCTTCTAGCCAAGGATTTGCTTCCTGTGGTTTGTGGACGTTCGCTATGTCTTACCCATATTCTAAGCAATTCATTCTTTGGCTTTCTATTCAAAAACAAAACAAAGTCTTAGATCATGTTTGTGTCCTCTACAGATTTATTTTAAATGGAATATGTAAGTACCATGTTTTATGGTATTTTTAAATTATCTATTGCCTCTTTCAGGGGAGGGGGAGATGACCTATTTAGTCTTAGATTTGCACTGCTGGATTTTTTTAAGTGTAACCTTGACTGGTTATCCTATTGTTCTATTCTGTAAGATTAGTCTTATGAATTAAAGTTTGATAATTAAGCATTTCTGTGTTCGAGTGTTTTAACATTCTGTACATACTATACTTCTTACAGCATAAACAACTGTGGGCAAACAGTTTGTATGTTGAAAAATGTACCCAGAGCCAGAAATCCTTGGACACTTGTGCTTATTGTTAACTCCAACGTTATTGGTGCCTTTTGCTAAGTATGGCGAGTTGAGTGTATTTCTGCTGTACATCACTTCATACCAAAAGGCTGTGAATTATAGGATTTCTCTAGCTCCCTGTCTAAAAGCGGGATTTTAAATTGTAGAATGTCCTTGTCGTGTTGAGCATACTCAAGGATAAATTCAAGTACTCAGCTGTAAATTCTACGTACAGGCAGAATTTGTTACGATGCCAAAAGTTCCACTTCAGTTTATCAACCCACAAAAAGCAGTTGCTCAGGAGAAGCCTGGCTTATTGGGGCTTATAGCAGGCTTCAGACTTCTTTAATACTTAACCTGTGCTGCTCTATTTGTTACTGCCTTTATTTACTTTTGTTTCTCTCCCTCACCCGCTTTAAAAAATGCCCTGAAATGGTTTCATACTGTTGTCACTGAAATAGTTTAAACTGTGTGATGATTTAGTCCACCTATCATGTAAGAATTGGCAAGTTGTCTTTCATTTTTTGATTTCTAGGTGTACCTCTTCTTGTAAGGGGCCCTGTAGTTATTTACAGGGGAGGGAGGTGTTAAATCCCACTGAAAATCCCTTTCAGCTCCAGTTTGTCTCTTTGAAAAGAGCTGTTATAAATATTTGTGCCCTATTCTTTCTTCAAATGAATCTAAAGATTATTCAAGTGGGTTGATATGAAAGTCTTTCAGGAAGAGATCTCTACTCTGAAATTGTGAATCCAGGGGAAGGCATTGCAGCAGCGCTGACGGGACCTGTCTGCCGGGGCTGTGAGGCAGCGGGGCAGTCGTGGATCCCATACCAGAACTGCGGCTGGTACCGATGTTAGCTGAGACAGCTACAGGTCCGCAGGGGCAAGTGTGACTCGATGTCGGCTGGAGTTAGTGGAGGGTTGTGGGGCTGTTGAGTTTGGTTCCTTGCACGGGAAAAGCGTGGTTTTTCTCCGAATGGTGTTAAGCTGCGCTGGAACCGCTCAGCGCTCCTCACAGCGCTACTCGTCCTTGTGTTCGTGAAGATGGGAACCTGGGGCCGAGCACCTGCCGGCTGTCCCGCGTGTGCCGGCAGCTGGCCGCAC